TTCTTCATGACTGAGCCAAGTGTCCTCTTTGTTGGAAATCAAAATGTGGTCACCCTAATCAGCTGCAGCTCTTGATTGTTTTATGCATGTACAAGAGAAATGTATTATTTTCAAATAGCCATTTGTGTTGTATATTATATGCAACCGTGCATGCAAGTGTATGTACTCATTTAGCCAGCAGTGCTGACTGGGTAAAGTCAAACATGTTTTGTAAAACACAGATTGTACAATACCTGAAACTGGACACGTGGTGTCGGTGTCAGTGGGAGATTTGATCCAATCATCCGCACAATGCTGCGATACTGACCGCACAGCGGACTATTCCACACTGGAACCAGCTAAAATGCACGATGACACAGACAAGACAGAAACATAATGTCACAACGTCAGATTTAAAAGTTCACTGATTCAAGCAACCCGCGGATACCTCAGGAGTTTGAGTATTGCAAAACAAAAGAATGACACAAGTGCGTCTGTGCACATACCACGTCTGGAGGAACACCAAAGTACTCCAGGACGATGCGCAGCACATAAAGAACATCCTCTGCTAGGGACATTGGAAGGATGTTTTCTTGCACCAGCTGATGACTGCAAAGCTCTGCTTTCTGCTGAGTGTCTTGGTGGGAGGCCAACACAGAAAGGATGGGTCTAAGTCACATGCTTGAAACCTGAAACAAAACAACAAGAACAAAAAACCCAAAAATAACACATACGTAAAGTAAGATAATGCCTCACAGTAAAAATCACATATGAAACCAACAAACAAATAATGGTTCAAATATTGATACTAGGAAAATAATAACAATAATGATGATAATGACTATAGTAATCTGATAATCTGTGACCACCGATTCCTTCATCTGCCACTTCTCTGCAGAGGAAACACCACGACTCTCAAACCTATAGACTTACAGAGTTTAAAATATAACGAATGCATAGGTTTGTATTGATAACAAAGTAGCTTCAGACAGTTAGAGTTAAACATTGGAATTGTCAAGGTCAGAAAAACGTTAAACCCATACGAGAATGACCAGGACACAACCCACAACAGCAAAATGAAAGTAAGTGCAGCCAACGGTCGGTTGCTGCCATCACTGATGCTCAGAGACAAATGTCGGTCTCTACAACTGGATGTTGATTCGGCAGCAATCTCTCAGTGTACCAGCACACTGGAGAGAGCATGGCTGACTTTAGGTGTAAGTTACACAGTGTCCTGCCGTTCTGAGCAGTGGGGGCAGAGAGGCACCGCAGTGGAAAAGCTGCGTGGATCATCAAAATTAACGTGCATGACACCTCCGGGATTTTACACGATAAAAAGAAAAAAAAACAAACATATAGTCGCACTTACCGTCAAAACGTGAATTAGCAGCTACATTTCTCCCAAGCCATGCTCCCAGACGATACTGTAAACTAAATGATATTCACCGAGAATCTGCAGCTTCCCTTTTGTCGCTCACGCGTTCAGATTAAAAGGAGTCTGTAAAGTCAAATAACGCTGCAGCAGCGAGACGTCTTCTGGTTGGCTGTGGATACAGAAGTAGTAAGAGCAGCCAATAGGGGTGGGCGACTTTGCGGCGTAAGCGGAGGCTAGTCGACCAATCGGGTGATTGCACCAAATTTGTATTTGTGCACGAGCTGCTTCTGCCCTGGGTAAGAAACATTTAGCTACAAAACTACAGTTTAATTATAACTGTGATATATTTTAATAGAATAGCAGTTAAAGTGATTCCCCGATATCTGGTTATGAAGATGGAGCGAAAAAAGAGGAAATGTATTTTTTGTTAAGTTTATTTAACCTTTTCTCCTAAAGTAGTTAGCTAGCTTCTTTGGCTAGCCACATTCTCAACGGCAGCGTAGCTGCTTGACTTGTTAACATTAATACGGCCTGTATGATTGACAATGTTGGTAGTTTTGAAACATTCATTAGGAATTGTAGTATGACCTCACACCGGACAGTTTTGGGATAGGAAAAGCTATTTAACAGCCGCACGTCTTTTACCTAACACTCTTAAGTAGATATTTTGTCCACCACATGCCAAACGTTGAGAATGACTAACTCCTTTGTAAATGTTTTTCACAGTCCGATAAAGTTGTTAAAGATGATGGATGCACTGTCGGTGGTGAGTCAGCTCCGGGACTTGGCTTCTGAGCCCCAGAACCGCGACGTGATAGTCCAGGATCAGGGCTGTCTCCCTGGGTTGGTTCTCTTCCTGGACCACCAGAACCCAGATGTCCTTTTTGCAACTCTACAGGTATGTTATTGGACGGGATTCAGATTATTTCTGAATTTCAATTAGTTACATAGTTTTAATAACATTAGGTTGCTTTCTGTTTTTAAGAGAGAGACCAGTGAAGGTGAAAGCTTTCATCATTGGGTCAAGGCTGGGCTGGAGCCTATCCAGCTGTCATAAGACTAAAGGCAGGGTACACCGTGGACATATCTATTGTGTGGCAGGACTAAACAACAGCCAATTTAGAATTGCCTATTAATTAGAACCCTAATTAGATGTAGGATTTGTAAGACAGAATATTTGGAGATTTAGAAGTCTGATATTTCAATATAGCAAGCACTTTTCTTTCTTTCAAACACACACAATGTTATGGGCAGCTGTTTGTTAACTTCTTTACGCTCTACTTCAGCTCTGCTCAGATCCGACTGGCTCCTGTTTGTGATATTCCAAAGATTATATTCCCTGTTAACATATTGCTAAAAGGCAACTTTCCTTTTAGCAGAGTGCCATCTAATGGACAAACTGCTGTTTTACATTTTCATTTTTAAATGGCAGTGCATCAGCAAATAGCTAATGCAAACTCTACACAGAACGTGACAGATGGATTTGAACCTAGGACCTTCTAGCTGTGAGATGTGGCGCTAATCACTACACCGCTGTGCATCATTTAAAAGACATATTTTCCATGTTTTCCAGTCTTATTACCAATTAAAGAAGGTTTTTAAAGCTCATAATGTAATTTTTACAGTGGTTGATCTTCCTAATTCAGCCCTCTCAGGGATTTGTCTCCTCATGGTCCTAAAGAAGGAATCTTTGATGTGTTATGTGAAGGTTTAAACCCCCACACTGTGAGCCTTTCTGAAAGCAAAACATAAATGTGATTACTTAGAGGTGACCCATCCATGCCTATTAAGTATACTTGCTTAATTCCTTGGGGGAGAAAAGTCTCCTGTAATCTATATTATGTGCAGGTTATATTAAGCATGTGAAATGGGTGATATGATACTTAATCTAAAGTTGATGTGCACTGATAATACCACTGTTGTGTCGCTGAACTGTAAGCATGGCTGTATATAAATCCCTTCTGTGCTATTTTGTCCTCAGACCCTACGTTACTTGGCTGAGTTATCTACCAACATCCCCACCATGAAGAATGAACTGGGTATGATGGTGAGCTTGGAGAATCTTTTGGCAAGGTGACACACCCATGGTTACTTTTACCTGTGGATGAACACATTATTTCATTTGCATTTTAATGTGGCTATGTAAAATTTACAGTGATACTTGGCTGCTTTTTCAATGCATAAATTCTGTGCCGTTTTTTTGCATAATAACATAGTTATAAGTTTGTAATGAAGGTGAGTGTTCACACCTCCAAAGCACATGATTAAATATAACCTTCTCCATACAGAGATGGTCTCTCTGTTGATATCACCTCTTTGGCCAAGGAGGTTTACGATATTCTCAATGCACCTGCTAATCCTCCGCCTGAGAGAAAGAAGAAACCCCAGTTCTTTCTCAATTCTTCCAACAAGAAGGCCAAGTCCATCACTCTGCACATACAGGGCTTGGACAGCTCTGTAAGTCGACTGCTTTTTACATACAGTTCATTTATGTAGCTGTTATAATCGCCAGTAAGTTTAATTATGTAATCTCTGTGTCATTAAGCATCGAGGTTTGTGCGAGGAAGCTCTTCTGAAGGTCAAAGGAGTGATAAGCTTCACTTTCCAAATGGCATCCAAGAGATGTACTGTTCGCATCCGTTCAGACCTGCCCACTGAGGTAACAAGCAAAGACAAACATTTACAACCCAACATTTTACCAACAAAGTTGGGATGCTGTGTAAAATGAAAATAAAGTCAAGTAAAACCACATTTTATTCACAATAGAACATATCAAATGTTTAAAATTAGAAATTGTACCATTTTTAAGAAAAGGTAATTTTTCATTAACCTCACACTCTTCCCTGATGTCCCATTTGCAGAGTCTGGCAACAGCCATCGCTGGCACTAAGGTGTTGTCAGCCCAACAAGTGATAAAGAATGAGGCAGGAGAAGAGGTGCTTGGATACTTGAATATACTTTCAGTAAAGAATATTAGGATATGGAAGTGTAAGTTAAAGTTTAACTATGAATTTGTTTTTTTAAAATAACATTGTCTTCAGGTTTATATTCCTTTGAAATCATCTGGAGTGGATGTGCCTCAAAACTCAGCCCTGCCAGATTACCTCCCAGAAGAAGAGGAGAGCCCTGTGAGGGAGGTCGATCGAGCAATTTCCCGCACCACAGCCAAGGAAGATTCCAGCGGTAGCTGGCTCAACGCTGCTGCCAGTTTCCTCACAAAAACATTTTACTGGTGAATCAGTCACAGGGAGGTGCTTTTAAGACTCATTCCGGTGTATTTAACTTGGATGGACATTACTTGTTGTGAGAAACCACAGGTCTGAGTCCTGGCTTCTACTGTATAATCAGCATTTCAGTTCTTGTGAGACGATCAACAGATTTTGGGCTAGATCTCTTTTATTGTTTGAGCTGACTGGAAACTAAAATGCTTGAATCATCCGTCCTCATTCAGTGTAAATATTTCTTTCAGATCTGTTTTTAAAATTTCCATTTCCTCCTAAAATGTACAGAAACCGTTTACAATCCTGACTGCTTCTTTCTGTCCTGTTTTTAATTGTTGCTGGTTTATGCTACAGAATACAAATGTTGTGCTGTCACTGTACTCTGTTCTGTTTTCTTTCTTGGCTAAAGAGTTTGAAAAACAATAAGGTAAAATTACTGAATAGGTAACCAGTTCAAAAAGTTTTATTCATTTGAAGCAGTACAGCTGCAGCAGTTGTAGAGATTTTACTTTTACAATGATTCAGAGAGCTCACCTCATGCTTCCTCTGAAGTAAAGGGCTATATTCAAATCTTTGTGGTAGTAATAAAATATACATTTTTACATTTATAGCATCAAATATATAACAGCATGCCATGTGTACTGCTGGTAATGTCCTGCAGTACATAATCAAGACAAGTTTATTCTTTAGTGGTACTGTTAGACAGTGCTCAAGTCTGAGGACCCTAATGCAGATCATTTGTAGGAGCTGAGTGAAAATGAAGTGTAATGGACTGCTTCTAGAAATTTAGTAATTTCCACCTTTTGTCTTGCTATAGTGAGAAGTGGTATGAATTATAACTGCGTGACACAAATATTTGATTCATAGTGAATTCAAAAAAAGCCACTGGGGAGTTTGGGCAAAGGGCCAAAGCGATTGAGCTCATGAAGCAAAGTCACATCATTCCTTCTACACTATGTTAAGGCCAAGGAATGTCATAATTAGCAGCATCTGTCAAATCCTTGGAAACAAATCCGATTATTTTAACAATAACATCAGTAAATTCATTCAATCCAGTTTGGATTTACTTGGCCAAAAAAGTGGCTTACAGGCAGTGACAGGATGTAGAATAGGTGCAACTGTGACAGGGTTAAAATGTGAATGAATGAAAGGGCATAACTTAATAATGAAGCACGTTTTTGTAAATTTGAACATAAAGACAATGACGACAAATCATTTTATCTGTACATCAATTTGAAGAAAAATCTGAAGTTTATACCCTACATTTTCAGTTTTCAGAGGACAGTATGTTCATTTTTGTCATTATTAAACCTAAAGTCATAATACTCCAGCACCTGTTCCACCCCAGTAATAACCTAGTTTAAACACTGTAGAAACAGCAAAGTATATTACATGACATATCTTTTTTGCATTAGTCTTAATACAACTTCATGCACTGATATCATTCCTGGAGCACACTTTATTTCTCACATTTCTGCAGAAATATTACCTTGTGAGAACCATAAGGTTCCAGTTAGAGACAAAAATTCATAAATGAAGCTAGATTGGGGCCTGAGCTAAAGTCCCATCGCTGATCACAATCTGTCTACAGAAAAATAGTTCAAAAACGTTCAAGTATCACAGCTGCTGACTGACAGCTGATCTTAGTTTTTACATCTTTGTCAGTTTCTCATTCGCGCTCTCAATCACGCACATCACAAGACTATACACACTCAATGCCTCAATGCCCTGCTGTGATTTCAGGACATTCATTTAAGAATCAGGGAAACCTGTGGCTATACACAGAACATACATGATGACCAAGTGTAATCATGTTCAGATACAGAAAAACAAGCTTTGCCCCACAGAGTGCAGGATGAGGGAAGAGTAATCTCTCTCAGTGATGCCCTTGCAAGATGTTTGGAGACACCATCTTTGGGAACAGTGCTCTTCTGTCACAGGAGAGGAAGAAAGGAAGAATCTAGTGCTGAGAGTTGTCCTACTGATTCAGTCCAACAGCTCTGTACTTCACCTCTCTGTTTGACCTCTCCTTCATGTCTGTGGGTGTGGAATCGTCATGTTGCATCAGGGCATCAGGCAACATCTGCAAATCAAAGGTACAAAGAATTTAAAGCACAGGACATATATTTTCTTTATTCACTTCCTTGTAAATAAAATATGGTCTTTCAACTTGCAATGCTTGAGCTACTATATTGAAAGTGCAATACTAAGTCTTCATAATCTGAATGAGCTTCTTGGTATGAAACAAAAATGAATAAAACAAAAACAAACAGAAAAACAGAGCAGCCTGTAGCAGCGATGAAGCCATGTGAGAAACTTGTGGAGGACTGCACCAATAAGCTGTACTCAGGTCTGCTCAATCAATTCTGTACCAATAGCTTATTGGTGTCCTGGTTTCTCTTAAGCCTAATGGGAAAATTAATTGGTCAGTGATGCTCGAAACAGTTCTTCTTCTTGTTAACTTTTTTTTTAATTTAAAAAAAGGTGAATATCTTCAGAAGCTTATTGGTGCTCTCCACAAATGTCCCAGTTTCTCATTTGACCCCATGGGAAAATTACACCTCTACTTCAACATAACTGCTTAGATACTTTGAAAGTCCACAGTGATGTCTCTGTACATGCTTTCATTTACAAGAATTGATTGAAGAGTCATTCTGTAAGACTAGAGTTACACATAAAGAAGAAATATTTGAGAAGATGCATCCCGCCCAGGATGTCCCGTCCCAGTCTGTAAGACACCCTCATCTTTCAAAGTCCAGCAAAAATTAAATAACTCGATTTTTTGGTAAAATGTGATGCCTCAATCCGAGATACCCCCGATGACATCATTTTGACACTGCTGAGGTTTCTTTCATAGAGCTTGCAAAGAGCCCACCAGAGCCTCAGAAGACTGTCACAAAATTTATAGAGGACATTATTCATCAAGTCAGGTTTGTAAAGACAAGATGCGCACACACACCAAGAAGTGACCAGAATGAATGACAGTCTCTGTAATTTTATCAAAAGGAAACTAAGGGAGGAAGAAGAAGGGGGTGGGAAGTAATGGGATATAAATGTAGGAACTAGTGGCTAATCAGAGAGTGGATGCCTTCTCACCTGCTCCCTGCTGGGCTGATATATCGTCTACTCTGCTTAGAGGTTTCAGTAGACCATTCTCTGAGAAGGCTAGGACAGGAACTCTGTTGTCCTCCTGCTGTTGCTGTTGCTCCTCCTCTCCTTCAGGAGGAGACAACCTGGAATGTGAAGGCAGTACAAGCACCTCTTCAAACTCCCCATTCTCCCTAAAAACCAAAACAAAACAAAAAAACAGTGTCAGACCTGATGACATCACAAGCAGTATGGCTGTTGTATATCATGGCTGTTGACTGTACCTCTGGTCAGGATGGCTCAGTGCTGTGGTGTTGGGGTTTGGGGTGGGATCTGGTTGGCTTAAGTTGCCGTTACTATTGTGTCTTGGCGTCTCAGTTGCTGCTGACGCAGCAGGAGAGGTCGGGTTCACTGATGGTGAAAGAAAATCAATCTGGTGTCAGGAACAACAACTGCAGAGGATATGTTTTGACGACAATCTGAAAGATATATTACTGCAAAAGTAATTATAAAAATGGTATATTAAATTACCTGCATTGTCTCCATTTCTGACCTTCTGGTGATGAAATGAAAAAAAGGAATTAATACTCAAAGATTGTTCAGTTGGATAGTTGTTACACTTTTGTTTACTCCATTTTCCCTCTGGTCTTTACCTTTTCAGTTGTCTCTGAACGCCGTGTTCTCTTCATGATCTCCTCAAGACGCTGGAGGGTTAGAAAAAAAGGAAAAATGCTTTAATGTACACTGTACCTTGCAATTTATGCGTGTTTATAATGTGAGGTCACGTTACCTTCTTTCTCTCCAGTCGTTCAGCCTCCTCTTTCTGGAAGTGCCTCTCTCTCTCCTGCCTCAGTCGCTCTGCCTCCTCTCTCTGTCGAGCCTCTTCCTCCTCTTTCTAATGTACACAAAAGCATTTCATCTTATTAATAGGTCCATAGTGCTCCAACGTGTTCTCGCCCTCGAGTGTGTAGCAGGCATATCACAGATATACACAGGATGTACTCTCGCATTAAAGCCTGGATGCACCTGGAGCTGCAATGATGGGCTCTCAGATATAAGAGGTCTGTTTTAAAGAGCTTCAAAGTGTGATTTAGGAGGCTGGAATTGGGGCGAATACATAAGCAGTACATTTTTCTTTTGCCTGGAAAGTACAGTTTATGTTCCCTTTGAGAGTTTAGGGCAGCAGAATATATTTGGTTAGGTTTAAAAACAGACTTTTCCCTTTTGACAACATTAACCCTGCACATTGAAAAATTGTGATTCCTGCCAATCAGTGCCCTTACATTGCCAAGAAGCCTTTTACAAGCATCCATATGAAGTTTGGGAGTGAGACGTGCCTTGTAATTTGCCATAACCTGGCGCATCACTGTAGTTATGCTAAAGAGAACATCTGTGTGTCTCTCTGCATCACCATCAGGTCTGTATTTGACACCCCGGGAATGAGAACAGGCTGAAAGTTCCAACAGCAGACCTGCTGATTTTTGTAGTTAGCTCAAAATGCCATTTGTGACAACCACATAAAAACAAAACAAGTCAACATAAACATCTGTAATCTCAGACCTGTTTCTGTAGTCTCTCTGCCTCTTCTCGCTCTTTCCGAAGTCTTTCTTCCTCTGCCTTTCTCTCCTCTTCCTCCTCCTTCTTCCTCCTCTCCTCGGCCTGGCGCTGAGCCTCCTCTTCTCTCCTTGCTCTCTCCTCTGCCTTTCGGCGAGCCAACTCCTCCTTTGCTAATCTGGTGAGACACAACCAAGTCAAAAATGATGCAGCCTTTCAGCACTACACACTCCCTCTCATGCACATGCTCACACACAGCCCAGCCTGCACACCTTGCCTGCTCCTCTTGTCGCCTGCGCTCTTCTTCCTCCCTCTCTCTCTGCTCGCGGGCCAGCCGTCGTTTCTCGGCCAGGATACGACTCGCCTCCTCCGGGTCTGTGGTGCCCGCTGAAGGCTTGTGAGCTGGTGGACTGCTTACACTCTCTAGAAGGCATCATAAAAGTTATGCTGACCAGTGTAATAAACTGTAGCTGTGAAACAGGTGAGAGATTCATAACTCACCGCTGGTTGCCGTTTGCTCATTCGAGCTCTTGTTCTGACCCAGTGGCTGAGGTCGAGGCTGAGGAGGGCTGAGGACCTGCTCATCATCCTCCTCTCCTCTGGGTGTTGAAGGGTGGGAACTCTCAGGTGTGATCCTGACAGGACGAAGATTTCCAGGATCTTCTGCCCCTGGAGACTTTAGTAACTTGGGGGTTGGAGGTCGCCCCACTGGTTTCTGTGGAAGTCTGTGAGCAAAGGAAGTATATATATATTTTAAAAAAAAGCAACAATCCAACAAAACAACAAAAATAACTGCCACATTACATTTCAAATAAAACTCAATTTCAGCTCCAAATATTCCCCATTTATCAAATGTAATATCCACTGACCTGCCAGAAGAGGGTGCTGTCACTTTACCGCTCTTTTTGATTGGGGAAGAGGAGCGCTTGCTTGGGGGCAATGAGAGAACAGGAGCAAGTGGAAGTGTCAGGTTGCTCCATGACTTCCTGACACTGTCACGGTCTTTTTGCCGCTGTTGGTTCAGGAGATACGGTAAAAACAAAAGACAACATGCACGAGTCAAAACAGGCAGTTTTTTTAAAACACCACCAAGTAAGGACCCAGGGAAGCAAACAACACATTATCATCAAAACTGCTCTTCCAGAAAAATGTCCTTTAATGCAACACAAAGGTAACTGGATGGTTTAGAAGGTGCCCTATAGATAGTAGCCACACAATATGATGACGAGTAACAGGATTAGGCTTAGATTACCTCTGGCACCAAACTCAGAAACAAAAAAGAAAAAACAAAACACACTTAACAGGTCACAAAATGAAAAACAGTCTTTTTAATTTGGAGAAAAAAAATAAAAATAAAATCACACTGCATCCATTATCTGTACATTCTCACTGACCTTGTATGAATGACACACCAGCGGTATTCTGGAGTGGGTGAGAGTTATCAGTTCACATGCACAGTGATATGTTAGTGTGTGGGATGCACGGCATACAAGGGGCCTTCTTTCTAAGATCTTAACGGCATAATAAGCTGTCACGAAGCAGATGAACAGTGGATGCAAGTGTGTGTGATGACAGATACTCTAATCTATTGTTTATATTGTTTGATCAGAAACATAATCAATTTGAAAATGACAAAGTTGAAGAAGTAGAAGAATTAAATGTTACTCGGTGCTTGAAAAAAATGATTTAAAAAAAATGATTTATGTCAACACGTTCTGTAATATCAGTAGCAGGAAATAATGATGAGTTGCTTTTTGTTCACAAATATTATTTCCCAGATATTTTGTCATGAGCTGATGAAATCTACCTGTGTTGTTCCGGTTGTCCTCCTGCGCGGGGTGTTTAAAGACGAGGAAGCTGCGTCCCTGCTGAGGTTCCTCTCCTGGCTGCGACAGTGAGGCAGTGGCTGTGCCTGCAGGGCCTTGAAGGACATTGAGCCCATGGGGTGGCAGGACACTGAGCGAGGACACACAGGCATGGCTAGGGTGATGTATAAGGTGGGAGTATACAGTGTTTTTGAAGAAGGTATTGATTGGGGTAGTGTGAGAATTGGTAGGACACCAATAAGTGTTGGATAAAATGGATCACAGAGGAAAAAAGATCAGGAAACAAAGACAGGAATGAGAAGGAATCAAGATGAATAATAAATAAATAAATAAATAAAAAAGGAAAGCCATGGGTTGAAGAAGCCAGCGCAGGATTGAGAGGAATGAGGAGAATATTTATGGTAGGAACAGAGAAGAAAGAAAGAAAGAAAGTATTAGTGCTACTAAAAAGTGCAAACAGCTGCGAATGTACTGCAACCATCACCTGGCACTGTCTGACAAAGACTGTCTATGTGATACAAAATAAGGATTTGGTTGGTTGATTAGGGTTAGTAAAAAAACGTAACACAATACGCTTAAAGATATTTAGATCAGGAATGGTTTGCCAAACCATTACTTGCTATAAAGTGTCCCAGTGTTGGAAGCATTTCTACTTTGTCACCCAGTTAGAACAAACTATAGCTATCCACACAATAGACCCAAAACCATACAAAGCAAGCAAGCACACAGAAACAAAAACATCTAAATACATGTAAGAAATGCTCTTCACCAGCTGAAGATGATGCTGAATGTATCAAAGAGGGCAGAATAGAAAAGAGTGAGTGAATTCAAGTAGTTCACCTAGAAGTTATTTCTTTCCCTTAATGTAAACAATGATGGAACACACACAAATGATCTAAAACTCCCTGCTGCTGTGACAAGGCATGGCATCAGTAGAGGAAGATTTCCTGAACAGATCACTTTATTTGTTTTGGGGGACGTATGTGCATGTGTGTCTGTGTGCATGAGCTTTGGGTGCCTGACACACGCTGTTAAAGGAAGTTTCAGACAGTGTAATGCTTTAAGTCCAGGCAAATCAGATTAGCATCCGAAACTGCTTGGGTCAAGAGACCAAGCATAAAAGAGTATATATACTCTTTTTAATAAAACCTCTGCCTTAGATCAAGAGAATCTTGATCTAAAGAGCCAAAGGGCTTTAAATGTTTTGTTTTATAAAATCAGTGTTGCGTGTTACCTGATTGGTCTCCTGACAGACTCACTGCACTGCGGCTGCGGGCCAGGTAGGAGTGTGTTGGCTGCTGCAGGCGGTTCACCATGTTGCTCTCCCATGGCGTCAGTGGAAGGCGGCGCAGTCCTGAACACACGCATGTGACATGTGAGCTTTGATAAGAGCTACAAATACAAACTACCCACTTATTTGCCTAAGCAAACAATCAAAGCAGATTATAAATTATACATATTTACTGCATTTTCCCCCTTTCCCAACACTATCAAGCATTGCAGGTTAGAAATAAAGTGAATTTGTAAGCATGCACAGACTGCCGTGCCACACCTACACCTTCATGCATCTGTTTAATTATGAGAGGCAGCAAACACCGTGGTATGAAGAGCAAACAAAAGGGCAAAGACAAACAGTGCAAGATAAAAGGACACATAGCATTTTTAAGAAAATGATCTTCAAGAAATTTCAATTTATCTGGGAAATCATTCAAGCAAAAAGCTTTCAGTTTACCTCAGGTAGTTCGGAGAAAAAGGCTATTTTAATTAATTAATCTCCACGGCAACCTGATAAGTAAGCCAATTAAAGGAGATCCGGCACAGTACGAGACAAAACGTGCAGTGCTTTGCAGGTGTCAGCATGCAGGTCAAAGATACATCTGGGCTGAAAACTGTAGTAATAAATGGGTTTTTACATTTCTATTACTTTATATATAAAAACATTCATGTTTGAGAGTTTTTTAGAATTCACTGAGTGATGCTTCACAGTGCCTCAGTGTGCGGTGTCTTCTGATAATATAATAATGGGAACAAGAGCATAATTATAATTTTATGACTAATGTGGGTGCCAATTTTACAGCCAGGATAAAAACAGCATACAGTGTTCCCACAAAAACAAAAAGATTATCCTACTGAGGATTAGAGAAAGGGGTCACGTTAGAGGGGGGGTAGAAAAAAATCTTGATCCCTCAGATGAAATGCACAAATGCCAACACGTGTGCGCTGGACTGTGGGCATTTGTTTCAATAATCATAATGTATATTTATACATAAAAGGATATTAGATCAGCTTGTCATGTCATGGTAGGCTCTCCAAATCAAAGTTTCTCTTGTCAGAATATTACATTTAAAATTTTACACTGACAAATTTCTACAAAAGTAACAGATTATTTTACAGTTTCCAGCCCAAGATCTTTTTTGTTGCTTGCAACATAGTCGGAACAGTATAAGAGACCAAAAAAATTTCCACAAGAAACCTGTGTTTTTCTGTTGGCTGGTCTTTCCCTGATGCAGGTGGGGTTTGGACTGAGCTTTGTTTATGACAGGGGAGGAGACTGTTCTCATCTGTAAGCCTGTCAGCAGCATACAAACATCAAATGATGCATGACCCGATGGTTAGACTTCAACAATGACTTCAGTAAAAGCTCAAACTCGGAAATTTGCTTATTTGCTTTCTTGCTGATTACTTCATGCAAGGATTCATTTAGGTCTAACATCTGAAAAACAGACCAAGTCAGCAGTTTGTTAGCTTAGCTTAGCATTAGGCAAATTTTTTATTTAGTGTTTTTCAGTTTTATTGTTCTTTTTGTCTTCATTTTAATCAAATAACTTCCTATTTTACTTTGTTCATATTTCACACCGTCTTGGGCCTGTTTAATGGTTTCTGTTTTGAAGTGTAGCTTTATTGTAAATTTGGGAAAAATTCACCTAAAAAGTATGTGTGTCCAATTAAAGGTTATTGACGTTTTTAGGTTATTTCATAAGAAAGAAATGATAAAGTACTCATAAATATACATTATATAATAAATATACAAATATACATTCATTATTATTCATTATCTTCCAAAAAATTGATGCATTCTCAGAAACTTAGAATTAATCCATTTAAAATATACCGGGCCAGCCATTGATTTGTGGAACCCTTCATGTTTCCCCACCATATTTGAATACAGTGACCGAGAAGGACACCTCCCTTCTGACTAATCACGCTTTACCTATCTGGCTGGAGACCGACCACATATGTAGTATGGCAAAGGCAGAAGAGAAGTTGCAGACATTCATGCCATGGAAGGACATTGGAGGAATATGAAAACAGAATTCTTCTGACATCTAGCAGTGAAAATTTTTCTGCATTGTAATAATATTTCATCTTCTCCTGTTAAGAGTGTTATCTGATTTAAGTTTGGATTCTGGTGTTTCTCTTCCATTCTTTAACTAAGCTATGTTAACTCTCTGATGGATTTAGCATCATATTAACTAAATGGGAATGACACGCTACACAATACATAGTTATAACATAAAAAGTGTGTTTCAGTCACATAAACATCCCAAATCGAATTAACTAATCACAATAAAACAATGAGTGCTTTACAGCCTGTCACAAGAGACTACTTCATAACAATGGCAAATTATACAAGATGGAGTCAAAAGCTGACCATTGCCAGTGGATGTAATGAACTGTATTTGTGTGTGTATATTTATTACCTCGATCTGGTGAGTGCAGGAGTGTGGCAGAGGAGCAAGAGAGGCGCTTGGTAATGACAGGGTCTGTATGCTTGGATAAATTCATTGTGGACACTGAGCGCCTATCAGCATCTAGAATACAAAAAAAACAAACAAAAAAAAAACATGACAAATGCATATCAGTTTTATATTGAATTGGTGAAATTTAAGGAGAGAAAAAGGGGAAGAAAGAGAGCTGAAGTCAGTCATCTCTCTGGGTTTCTCTATTTTGGTTAATTCAGGTTAGGTATGAAAAACTACCAACTTGTTGCTAAGACAGGAAAGACATTTAAAAACAGATTAGTGCTAAATGGGTCTTATGTCCTCTAAAATAAAACTAAAATGGCTTGAGTAAATGATCCTGTGCCTGGGGATATAACTTTACGTCACACGTGAACTGCTACATGCGAGTGAAATAGCAAAACTACATGTCGTGCCATTCACACTGGCCTACATGAAAACTAAAGAGAATGAGCTAACACAGTGCTGAACAGTTACAGTGCTAAAGCCAGCGTTCTAACGCCAGCCAGCTAACCCACACAGTGCTTTTATATTCACATTGGGATGTCATTCCGTATCTGTAGTAGAGACTGAAAGCACTCTGCATGTGCTCCAGTCCAGCAAGGTCGAGTGGATAGAGGAAAGCTGACTCGACAAAACCTGGGCCAGGAGGGGAAAGGACAATGGCAGAGAAAACAAAGAGTGTAGAGCAGGTAGAGAGCGAGCCGAGAGTGGGAGGGAGAGAGAGAGAGTAAGTCAGGGAGAGAGAGAGAGTTTGAATTTGAGAGCAAAGGGGGGGAGAGAAAGAGAGAGAGGCAGAGAAGGGTGTGAATATGCAGTAACAACAGAGGGCAGCGGATCTGAAAAGTTCAAATATAAACATGGCAGAACAATACTGACACGCAGAGGCAGGCAGACATATTTATACAAGAGAGGCACTGACAGAGACACGCATCAGGTGTATGAGCACCAATGCAGAGGGAGAAAAAATGGCTGTACAACTGACTATGTCTATGGTGTGTTGTGCTGTGTGTTAACAGGTATTGTGTTATATATGTGATATATGTAAGAGTACCAGCTGTTGTGCAGGGAGTGTTTGTCTGCAGAGTTCCTCCCCAAGACCAACGGTTGGCCTTCTGTCTGGTTTTCTGGCTCTTCTCCATAGTCCTGCGAATCACTGCCTCATGACGAGCCTACAGTCAAAACAACGAGAACATCAATGGCAAAAAAACAAACAGCCATCCGACATACCAAGTGCTAAGCAAATTCTCTCTCTTCATTTCTTCTGAATGAATGGAGTGCTTTGACTGCACCCAAAGTAGCAATACATGGCAGATAGAATGAAAGAAATGCCAACCTATGTGCTGGTGCTAAAGCTAATGCTGAGGAACCATAGACACTTTCTAGGCTGTAGAAATTGGAGTCCACTGAAAGTTGAGGTACGGTGGGCATCTGGTGGCCCAGTAGCAGTAGTAGTAGTTTCCCTGTTCTCCTACAGTCCCCGTTTCTAAATTTATAACGTTCCTATAAAATGAAGACTTAGATCCAAACCTAATTTCCTTCTAAGATGTAACTCTTTACTCGTTGAAAGCCTACTGAGAGTAACCATTGAAGCGGTTTGAACTGAGTGCTTTCTGTCATATTTCAGGCCTGCTTATAAAATAAAATGACTGAGTGCATCAAAAGTTAGCTACCCTTTGACATCTCAGCTATATACTGAGATGTCAAACCTCATACAGGTGAGGTTGTCAAATATCATCTTTATGGAGTAAAAAGTTAAAAACCTACTGTATCAATAGAAAAAAAAAACCTATCCAGATTTATTATTACTATTTATGCAAAGTCATCAACATGTGCTGCTACAGTGTCATGTTACAGATGAGTAACATGACACTGTAAATCAACAACTTAATTAGAACGTCAACTCGCTGTAAAGTTAATTACTGCTGGACAGGAAATCTATGACTACTTGACAGATGTGCAATTTTTCTTTACATTTTTTTTTTTTTATACGAGAAAAGGAGTGGTTAAACACACAAATACAGTATCCATGTCCCCCCATCCTCCCGGGATGGGTGTTTCAGAAAAAACTTGGAAGCAGGTGGCAGGTAAGAGGTTAGCCTTTGTGTGTTCACGAGTGTAACACTCAGGATGCACAGTTGTGAACGAGGGGAGCGTCAGTACCCTGTCTTCCTCTATTTTTTGCCGACGTTTCTCCTCCACGGCAGCCCGTCTCTTGTCCTCCTTTACCCGCTGCTCCTCCAGCTTTTTCTTTCTCTCCTCAACGTGTTTCTCATAGTGCTGCCTGGCTCGTTCCTCACGGGCCTGCCACTGGGCCTCCTTGGCAGCTGGCGCATGTAAACATGATAAACAATTTGTTTGAAAAAAGAAAACAAAAACAGGCAACTTGCACACAACACTAAAAGGCTTATAGCAGTAATGTGATGTGTCAGCTGTGGATCATATGAGAAAGCTTTAGCTCTCAACACAACGCAAACGCCTCAGCCCCCTACTTGGGACCAGAGGTGCGACCAGTGTACAACAGTGTGGAAAAAAACTCACACTTAAAACATGAATAAATAGGCAATGACTTCCTAAAAGCCATCTGTTGTATTATATTGGTTATACTGACACACACACACACACACCCTCTAATATCCAAAACACCAGCCTTTCTGAAAGCTGTCCCATGGACTGTCCCATTATGTAACACGGAATCCATGGCAACAGGCCGCCTGGCTTGAACCTAGCCTTTATGTAACAGCCAGAGAAACTGGCACTTCACCACAGCTACCAACCAAGTTCAGTCACAATATGTTGTGGGAAAGACAAAAAAAAACACCCCAAAAAAGATAACTTTTATTCTTTTCTCTGTCAAACTCACAAGAACGCTCACCATTCTGTTTTTCACGCTCCTCCCGGCGCTCACGGGCCAACCTATGTCTCTCGTCAATCTTGTTGAAGAGCAGCGAGTCTGCAGCACAAACAACAGTGAAGAATGTTAAAGGCCTGACATAAAACAGTCAATGCTGAGACACGGTACAAACTAATCTCATTAAAATATATGGTAACTGGTAAATGGCCTGCATTTGTATAGCGCTTTTACTCAGTCCTTAAGGACCCCAAAGCGCTTCACACTACATTCAGTCATTCACCCATTCACACACACATTCACACACTGTAATGTATGTGGGACTCACCTGTTTTGGTGCCAGCATTGTTACTGGGGCTGTTGCTGTTGGTGGTGCGACTAGGTGTAGGAGTGGGTGTAGGGGTCAGGCTGGGAGTGTAGGTCTGCCCAGAGCCTGCAGAGCTGGGACGGGTGGTTGAAGACACGGTGCCATCCTCTGACTTAAAGTGAGAGTACGATGCTGCAAAGAAGGACAAACAAGTGTCACATAATAAAACAACAAAAGAAGAGACAAAGTGGGAGAAAAGAGATACAGAAAAATACAAGATGATAATTGCACATTAGGAAGCACCATCAGAAAGACTTTCCACAGCTCCTCACCCAGAGCTGTAATAAATGTTTTCCCACTAAATAAAACCCATTCAACAACACTTCAACTGAACATTGTGTGTAGAACAAACTGCTGCTTAAAATAAAAATGAACATATTCAACCAAATGCTTAAGAAATAGCAGTTTACCATCAAAAAATTTCAAATGCATCAAAAATCTCTGCAGGTGGTCTCCCCAGCATTTTCAGGCTTTGCTGAGTTGCTTAACAGAAAAACAAAATGCAATAAAACAATATGCACTTCACTGTCTTCCTGCTATTCATAGATGTGGCCATGAAGTTGCAGTGTTTCCACCAAGCTCACAGCTAGGCTATTGATTAATTGCACCATAGGGTGACTCAGCGCTTTCAGGTTAGCTTCCTGGACACAGAGCGTTATACTGGCTCTGATGCAGATGAACCAGACGCATAAATTTACACGGGTAGGATTAGAAAAATTGTATACTATTAATAAATACTGTAGGTGTACTAAGCAAGCATTCAACACAGTCCTTTCCTGTGTGTGGTGATAAGAGAGAGACTCCTCAGTCTCCACAGAGACCAACCTGTCCCACAAACCCAAAGACCAAAATAAATCATCCCCCCTGACTAATCTGATAAACTGAAAAAGATGGACTCCACTTTAATTATCACAGCCATCATGCCCTATTCTACACAAGTCTCTCTATCACCTATTTCTTTTCTTTACAGAAAGAGGACAGGATGGAGTACAAGTTTCATATCTAGAGTTACAGATGGAAATCTGTGTCTCAATGAATTTTATAGTTACATAACATTAAGAGTAAACACTGAATCATTTCTCAACATCCTGGCTTTTCTGATTGACTTCATGCTACCATTTCCTTCCAGGCTTGTTTACAGTACTGTGAAAGTGTCTCATTTCTTTATATTTAGTTTCCAAGCAGCCAAACTTGTCAATTTTAAAGTGGTCTTGAAGTGGTCTTCTCCAGACTTTCTGAAGGTCTTTTAAAGTTGTTTTTTTTTTGCTTTTTTGTTTTGTGTTTTTCCACTCATGTTCACTCCAATTCTATTACCTGGTCATTTTAGAGGTTTGTGTGTCTGCCTGTTAAGGCACTTAACACTGACCTATGAATCGTTCAGTTTTAAAATCAATTTAAAGTTGTATCTTTGGCGACTTTGTTACTACCAGCTGGTAACAAAAACAGTCTGTTCCTCTTTATTTTAATCTATAAAAAATAAAAGCTCATAACAGTCTGACAGGCACAATTGAATATTTTTGCACTAATAAGGTGATTCAAAAACTGCTATTAGTCAAAAAGCTTCGCAGCTTTTTGTGCAGTGAGGACAAAAGAAGTGGCAGGCCTTAAAACAACAACAATAACAACAATGAAAAAACCTACACTAGATTAACAACAGCTGAAAATTACAAGAAAGCTTGCACAAACCTAATACTGTATTTCCATTTATGTTTGCATGTGTTCTCTTGACTCACTGCAACAATTCCCCATTTTCCTAGCAAAATGTAAGGGCATGAGGTGTGGCTTAAGAGTTCATAAAGATTTGATCAAGGACTGAGAAAAAATTGGAACCTTCTTCCTCCTAAAAGGTAAAAGAGAACATCAGTCTGAACACAAGTTCCACTAACTACTACTTTCAAATGCCCTTTTTCATTTGCAAGCTGATCAGTTTTAGTATATTAGAAACAGCTTCCTCCTTTCACTTTATTCTCACTGTACTTGGTAATTTATGATATTTTGTTTTGCAGAAAGTCTTATGAATCTAAACTGTCACTAACGTCTCCATCCAAACACCTCGAGAGGTTTTTAGGGTGAATCACAAAGACCAAGGATGTGAGGGCATAGCTGCAGACGGATTGTATGTCACAGTCTATGGAACATCTACAGAGGTGTGTACACAAGCATTCATAGGTCTGCCCTGCCTCGGGTAGACTGGCATTGGAAGTGGTTTAATATAGGCTATTGTTATGAGAGGAAAGGCTGGACTGGGCCACGTAAAAACAAGTCTGGTCTGTTTATTCTCTTCCCCTGAAATCCTTTTCCTCAAACAAAAGATTCAGTTTATTGAATGATGAGGATAATACACTGAAGTCAGATACTTAACGAGACATACGTGAATGGGCTTTTGGGTAAACAAAAAAGATGGCTTAAATGAGATGAAGTCAAGTCTGAATGAAAGGCCAGGAGCTCCTGCAAATGCATTAAAAGGCAAAGTAATGAGCCTTTTCATTTATACAAGTTGACTTCAAGTTTCATGTTGTGATGGAGTGGGCGTTTTAATGATCCGAGTGGACTACCGCACAATGAGCCAGTAGGCGACTGTCAAAGACCACAACCAGTTTCTTTAATTTGACAGCTTAAATTGATGCACTTCACTTTAATCAGCTGGGATTACTTAAAACTACATAAGAAATAACACTTCCTATAAAAGTCAAGACAAGAGAGAGACACTTTCATCCCATGTGAAATTAAATAACATTAGCAACCCGTCCAGGGTGTACCGCACCTCTCGCACCCAAACTGTAAGTAGAACAGTCATCTAAGTATGAATCTAAGTATGAAAAGATTAATAATTGGTCGGTTTAATCAATGAACCACACTCTCACAGAAATATTCAGAATACAAAGAAGAAGAGAAAAGAGGATTGCCTCTTAAACTATTAAAAAATTACTGGAATAAAGGAACTGAAATTTTGACATTAACAATGTGGCCCATTTTACACAACTTGATTTACCTCATAAATATTTACTGTAGCTCCGAGCTAGATGTCCTTCAGAGCATTTGCAGATAAAAGTAAATGGAGAACGAATGCATTCCTTCAATTCCTATACTTTGAAAAAGGTGCATGCATGTTGTACAATATAGTTACGAAAAGCAGTTAAAGCCTTTTACTTATAACAATCAGTGGAATTTGATAACCAGCCAAAATTTATCTCCACATCTCTGGTTCATACGTCTTCTCATTGTTTCCTTTGTTCAAAACATTTTTCCAGATGACGCAGTCTCATCATAACATTGGAAATCTGCACTGTCTGTGTTTTTTCAGCTGAAAATATTACAGAAAAAATACTAATATGTTGGACTTGTGCAGCTTATATCCTCTTACTGCGTCTCACAGACTCACCCATCTGTTGTAGAGGTCATAAACCGACAAACCTCAAATAACAGCGAGCATATTTGCTTGTGAGCAATAGACAGCAGCTTAACAGCCTTCACAAACACACCAAAGTCAGTTTCATGTGTGACATAATTCCACTTCCCAGTAATAAATGTCTGGCTACACTCATGTCCACCACCTTTTGCTACACTTTTATATAAGATTCTTTCATATTTTCAACCAACTGTTAACCAGGAACATAAGAATCTACACATACTAAACCTGAAGTCCTACAAAAGTCTAGATTCAAAAGATTAGGACAGATGTACAAAATATTTTGGTTTCACTCCAGCTGATGTGATTTTAAGCAATGTCTTTATGAGTATGAGTTCTTAGTGTTTAAATTCATATTAGGCTAACACATATCCTTTTGAATCTTTGGTAAATGACCTGTATTTGTATAGCGCTTTAATTAGTCCCTAAGGACCCCAGCCCATTTGAAGCCCATTTAGAAAAAAAAAGAACATGGATCATCTGAACTGACAGCAAACACCTCGTATTAAAACTGACACTATGGCAATGGTTTGATCTCAAATGAAATATTCGAGGACAAAGCCAAATCCAAAGCATACTGATGCTGGTGCTTTTGTAGTCCTGTTCATTCCCAATTAAGTACCTTGTACTAGATGAGTGTGGATTTGGCAGCAAAAGTTTAGGACACAGGTGACCCAATAGCTCAGAGGCTATGGTGCTAACCAAAAGGGCTAAAAAAAAACCCCAAACTTGCAGCTAAGTCCCATATTTCAACGCCTAGCAAACAGGACCATTGCTGCAAGTCAGTCTTGTCACTTCCTTTCTTTTGTACGCTGTTTCAATAGTTTAAATAAAGGCAAAACAAAATTCTGGGTTTAAGGCTTTACCTGGATTGTGGTTCATAATTCCAAGATTGCACCTGCTGAGCTCTTGGCAAGCATCCCACTCTGACTAGTCGAATCGGAGGACCAGAAACCACATTCCTACTTCTTGAAAGCATCTTTCACTGAAAAGAGTGACCCAATGAAATCCATGTTGCAGTGAGGTGGAGGGGGGGCAAAGAGGGCAGTCAAAAGAAATCCATCCAAAACTCAACTGTTTCCAGAATAAGAAAAAATGGGAAGTGAAAACGAGAGGGTGAGAGAAAGAGTGAGAGGTCAGCTGTGGTCGGTGTCACTGCTGCTGAGAGCCAGTGTGTGAGACAGGTTGTGGCAGCTCTCCAAACCCCATCCTTTTGTCCATGTGTATGCATGTATATTTGTGTAACAAGAGTATGTGTGTAACAGAGAGTGAGACGTGAGAGTGTCACCGTTTAATCTGCCCGCCCCTCCCTCCTTTCTGTTGCTTGCATGTATGTGTGTATGTGCATGCACGCTCCCCACCCCCAATCTATCTACATTCATTGCCAGTCAGATTAAATGGTCAGAGTTAGCGATTAATGCTCCGCTGTCCAGGCCAGCGGATAGCACGCTGTACGGCTCCTTTCCTTCCCTTCAGCCTGAGAGGATTAGCTGCTGCTAACGCTAAGCTAAACTGTAAGCCCCAACCACCAGAGGGGGAAAAAAAAAAAAGGGGGGGGGGCAGGGATGGGAGTGTTCCTTTATAGCTCTAGGAGAGGCACTCAGGCCTGGGTAACAGGTGCAAGAACGCTGGCTTCTGCTTTTTAGTACAAAAAGCTGCACTCACTGCACGCTGCAGGGCCAAGCTGCAAATCAGATCATGAGAGGAAAATTCAGTCATTTAAAACTGGAAAATTTTGAATGTTCCCATCTTCAAAAGTTTAAAAAAAAAAACTTTGTTAGTACAAATTTTTGCTCGACAAATTTTCACTGACAATAGAGCAGGGGTGTCAAACTCAAATACACAATGGGCCAAAATTCAAAACTGGAACAAAGTCGCAGGCTAACGTTAATATTTATTGAAATATATTTATTCCTCCAGATATAAGAATGAATCTTTTCTTATGGACTCAAACACGTTTTGCTGAAAAACTGAATATGGAACAAGCAAAACTTAATACTAAACAATATATATATATTAGCTGTATAATACCAGTAGGCCAGCTCTAATAGTAATTTGGTATGGCTTCGCGGGCCAAATGTAATTAGGCTGCGGGCCAAATTTGGCCAGCGGGCCAGAGTTTGACACCTATGCACTAGAGTATGCATACAAACCAATGCCCTCAAATAAAGTCATCTTGTTTACTATTAACAATCAATGGCAAATGAAAATCCACACACTTCTTATAGCTCCATCAACCATTTGACTTGTACATGAGTAATGAAGTCCATACCATTACTGAGAAATTACAGGCTAAGCTCAAAGTAGAAAGAACTATTTGAGACAAAACAAATCAGTTTAGTCTAACAGTCGTGTGTTGAATCAGTCCAATCAACAGCACCCACCATGTCTTCATAATAAAGATAACTGTGAAAAAAAGCAGCTCCTTCACAATTTCAGACTTCACAGTAAACCCAGCAGTTTTCTCTCCTTCCACCTGTTTCAATCATATCTTACATGTATGTTTGCTCCATGATGCAACTACACATCCCTCAGCATGAGAATGGTTGGATTCAAACAGGAAATGCAATTATCTAGAAATGAAACTAGCCACTTTGTCTTGTTCCTTATATATAATGTGGCATATGCATGATTTGTAGAGTCAGTCTGTAATACTACACTACTTGAAGAAAACCATCTAGCTTTGTTCTTTCTACTAAAAAACACTGGTCACAGTATCATCTCAACATTAGATAAGGCATGAAATTAAATCTAACACTATATCTTTCTGAATTGTGTGAAAAGGGAAAGCTAACGTGTGGCACATTTATGCCTGCTCCAACTGTAATAGCATCCCGACTGCTCTGCTTACTAATGCATTTAGATCACATGTACAGTGAGCCGCACCTCCATTCTCATCTGCAGTCCTTGAGTCAAGCTTGCCCTGTCAGCTGATTTTCACTCACACAAACAGTAAAACTGTGCTTCCTCATCACACCTGTCAGGCGCCTGTCTCTGGATGGCTGCGCTTCACAGTTTTAGAGGAGTTTTCCTTTGTAAAAGCAAACTGTGCACAAATCAAACAATTACTACATATCGCTAGGGGTATCAACTCCTACCTCTTTATTCAACATCATTAGCCTTGCATGTAGACACATTTGTCTTTAATGGACCACATTTTCAGATCTTTCTTTAAACTGCTGCGACTCTCTGGAGTCTGGTTAAACATCTCTGTGCCCCAAGAGCTTCTCTGCCCCAGATAATGCGCTCTCTCTCTCTC